CTACTCTCTGACTCAGCTATACTTCCCTTACGTCCCTGTCTCATAGTACCTTCTTCATCTTGTTGAGTCCTCCAGTGTCGGCTCGGACCTCCCTGCTTATCACCCAACCACATACCACCCCTCGTGGGGCTAATCTTTCCCCCACCACCTGCTCTAAGATCAGCACTAAAGTTTTTCTCCAAAACGAGATCCTCCACATATTTCAATGGGCAAAATTTCTCAGAGTGTCCCATAATCCCACAAATGAAACAGAAGCTTGGCAATTTTTCATATTTAAAATCTACCCAATGTCCTTCCCCTCCCTTAGTCAAAGTAGAGCCCTTTTTTAGGGGCCTTCTTACATCCAACTTTATCCTAACCCTCAAGTAAGAATGCCATTTCTCCTTGAAGTGGCTTTCATCAAAACTAATGAATTCCCCAATATAATTACCCACCCTTCTTGCAGTATCAACATTCATAAACTTATATGGCACATTGTGCACTTGCACCCAGAGCTCTGCTTCAAATAAGTCCATTTTATGTGGTATATCATTAGGTCCAACCGCCTTAAGCAGTAACAGATTTCGCTCAAATAGCCAAGGGCCATCCTCTATAACACGACTCATATCAATTTTATGATTAAAAGTGAAGAGATACCTCTTTTCCTCAATTTCTTGAACCTTCATTCCTCTTCCTGGCCTCCAGAGAGATACAACCAGTTCCTGTACTGCCTGAAATCTGACTTTCCGGTCAGTGATAATAACTCCCACCACCGGAAACTCCTCCGCCTTCGCCTTTGGAATGGTAGTTTCTTCCTCATCATCATCAAAAATCAAACTACTATTTTCTTTCTCCAAAGCCAAGCGTCTATACTGCTCTACCACATCTTCCATAGTTGAAGACTTCGTCCGCCGATATGCCTCTTTGAGAAAAACTGATTGCTCAACTGCCCCTGCAAATGAACTTCGTTCGTCTCAAAAGCCAAACCGAGAAAAGCCAAAACCAAAGACAAATCCGAAAGTTTGTTCGAATTTGGTTAATGAAAACAGCACCGCCTCCTTCCGTTTCACACCAAAAGGAAGGCTGAACCGAAGAAGGGAAAAATCGGAACTACTCTAGGCGGCGGTACTGCCTTATCCTAGAGAGAAGCAACATCATATATTTGATTAAGATTTTCTTTTTTCTTTATTGCATGGCATATGAAACTAATATTGCATGTTTAAATAATTTTTAAACAGATGAGGCTTCATAAACTTTACAAAAAATTGCCATTTTAACTGAAAGTACAATGGGGGTGTTCGGATAATGAGGTTTCAGCAAAAATGGCAATTTTATTCTTTTTAGCATTCTCGCCCAATGCCAAACATGCCCAATGCATTAAAAAGTTTTATTTTTAAACTTACGTACAATATTGGTATCATATGAAATGTAATAAAAAGTAATGAATTTTGATACTCCGTATATTATTTGTAACAAACTAACCGTTAGAGTACAAATAAAAGAATTATACGAGTAGCAATTTAAAAATTGAAATTTTTTAAAGTGCTAAATTATTTTTTGTTTTTGTATAAGAAATATTAGTGACACATGAAAGATAATAAGAAGTTACGGAGTATGTGTTTTGATATACCTGAAGTATATTTTTACATTATCGGAGCACAAAAAAGGTATGACACTCTAAAAAACAATTCTTAAAGTGCCTAATTATTTTTTATTTTTACCTATAAATATTAGTGTCGAACGATAATAAAATATTTTGAGTTGTGATATACTCCATATTTTTTTAAAACAATTGGGGTGCAAATTAAAAAGTTGCAATACTTTAAAAAACATTATATTTTTAAAGTGCTAAATTATTTTTATTTTTATATATGCAATACTGGTGTCATATGAAAAATAATAAAAAGTTATGAATTATGGTATATTTTTTATAACAATTGGAGTAAAAATACAAAAGTTAAAACTTTTTAAGAAAAATGAGACTTTTCATTTTATTGGGTCCCACAGTCCTCTTCTCCTATTTGTGATGCGCCTTTGGTCACGATTCATGCGTAGGTTGTGCATCCCCTAACCAGAGTTTGTGCAGCAGTATGATGGGAAATAATATTAACTCAACATCAGTTATGTAATTATTATTTTATTTAGCATTAATTTAGAAAAAAAACTCGAATAAATGCCTATTTATCACCTCACGTGACCTCTAAAAAGATGATTGTTAAAAAATCATGAATCATTTGAGAATCATACTCCAGAATAGAAACAACAACAAAAGACAGAGCGATTGAATAACATAAAAATTCACTTGAATGATTTTTATGAAAGGTGTTAACTGGTGTTAAGCCGCATAATCATACAAGAACTCATCACTAGAGGAATTCCAGAGAATCAGCTCCTTTAAAATCTAACCTATCACTATAAGCTCTAAAACTTTAATTTAAAGTGAGATAAGAAGATTCAGCTGTTAAAGATGTATCAGTTAACCTATCACTATCAGCCAAATTTATTAACTAAAGATGTATCAATTAAAAGTAATTTCGATGGTACTGTTTTATGTGGTAAGAAGATTCAGCTGCTGGTTAAGTATTAAGGGGGTGTTTCGAACTGATTCCGCTTCTGCTTCTTTTTTAAAGCAGTAGCAGTATCAGAATCAATTTTCAGAAGCTGGTCACCCCCAACTTCTAAAAAAACTGATTCTGGGAGTAAATTAGAGCACCAAAAGTGCTTCTGGAATTTCACCCAAACACTCCAGCTTCTGCTTCTGTCCCTAAAGGAGCAGAATCAGTTTTGAGAATCAGATCCAAACACCCCTACGTGAGATAAGTTAGTCTTTGGTTAAAATATGGCTGAAAAGTGAAAACCAACGGAGATAAGGTCTAAAAACCTGGCACTCACATATACAAAAATAGGACTATAAATATATTACTACCTGGAAAGTGGAAAGTGCCCATTATTGCATTTGACTATTTGAGGGTCGTAAGATGAAATAATCGGTGAATAGAAAATTTACTCATTGATCTTCTTATATACAAATAATAAAATAATTCAAGAAAAGAAGCCAAAAACTTTACCAATTTCATTTCTTTACAACTGCTCAAGAATGGATGCCATTGACCTCTCTGCCACATCTCGTGATGATCTCAAAGCCTCTTTTGTAGGACATAGCTTTAGGACACTTGCAGTAGTAATAGGAAGCACCACATACGTAGTATATCACAACTCACAAGGCACCATATCTCTTCTTAGAGTTTCATCAGTTCGTATACCGTGGGAGCAGCCCACCTTGAGCATGCTGCTCCCGCAGCAAAAAACGCGTGTTACTGTTCACGCGGGTGAACAGTAACTTTTTTTTTTGTTTTTTCATTCTCCAGTAGCAAAATGATGTAACTCGCGTGTAAAAAAATGTAACTCATGCTGATGGCAAATGTAACTCCAGGCAAATGAAAATGTAACTTGTCTAATACGAATTATAAGATATAAAATATTGAATTCAATGTAAATAGTGTAAAAAAGAGTCTAATTGCCCAATTATATTACATAGATTGTGTATACGTTTTGTTTCTAATTATCAAGACTATAAAAATGATTTTTATAAAATTATTTTTTCTTTGAATAGCAAGGGCTTATTGAGTTACGTAACTCGCATTTTATTGTGGTGTAACTCGGATTATGAAAAATGTAAATCACATGTAAACAAGATGTAACTTGCTGAAGAAAGATGACATGTAACTCACACCAATAAATATGTAATTCGAGTACATGAATGATGTAAATCGTGCATAACAAGATGTAACTCGCTCACAAAAAGATGTAACTGTATATATTTTTGAATGTAACTAAATTGAGCCAATCAAAATATAAATTGTCCAAACTGTATAAGATATATATGTATATATATATGGATAAAGATAAAGTAGATTCCTAATTAACTTCTACATTCTTCATGCTTTTGCCAGCAATGTAACCAGCCGTTGTTTCTCGATGATGCGCAAGGTTTAAATGTTAATGGAAAAGTTACTCCTGCGATGGCGACACACCTCCTGTAGTGAACGAACCCCCTTTTAGTCGAACTAGAAATGATGCGAAGCAATAAGACGGCGTAGCACACGATCTTCTTTTGGCAATTTTGAAATACCTAAGTCGGCGGCACCAGATTTTAATATAGATAAAACTATGTCGTTTTGGGATCGGCACACCATGTGCATGGTGGGCCGATCCCACGGTATAATTTGCGGAGTTTCATAGCTAATATATGTCTTATACTCTTATGCATCAACAAAGCCCTCCTCAACCAGGTTGCTTTTGCATCATATGTTCTCCAAATTAAACGCTATGTACTCTTTTCACAGAATTGGGTTAAGCAGCCGTAAAAATAGAAAGCCTCCGACCAAGACAAATCGACAAACACGTTGTGTGCTACATAATAGCAGAATACTATTTGCATGCCTAAACCAAGTTGATTTTACGTTTTTTAAACCAGAGCTCCAAAAGGTTGCTGCTATTTCTCTTGGCCTGTCTGCATTTTTTTAGAAGGAACAAGACCAGCGAAGAAGAGCTACCCATGTTGATTTCTCTTGCCTTATTTTGTGTTCGCTGAGAGGATGAAATCTGGATGGATTAACGCCATTCGCTGCAGTTGTGCGAAGAAAGAGGGAGAAACTAATGCTTCTGTTCACAGTAGAGGATTAACGCCATTTGCTGCAGTTGGGAGAGCACAGATACATCCGGCGGTTCTGATTTCCAACGGGAGCAAGCGCCTACGAAGAGAAGTCTCCGGCTAATTTCTTCCAGTACATCGCCGTTCGAAGCTTCAGAGGAGACCAACACCATGTCACCGTCTCGATAAGCGACCATGGTAAAACGGAAATACAAGCCTATTAACAAAATGTACAAACGGTAGAGGCTAATGTGCAACTCAATGAAGCAATAGATTACACCATCATTTTTTTCATCCCTAAAATGCATTAACCCCATTGAGCATTATAAGATTTTAAGATATGTATATATATTACTTAATCCAAAAAAAAACTACTTGTACGCCACTCCATTTAATCAATTGTCATTACACAAATGGCTTTAAAGAAAAGCAGAAAAAGACGCCCCATTTAAGCAATTATCATTACACATGCTCTTAAAGTCAGACATACACATGACTGACTAATAGCCAAAGTAAAAACACTGCATTAGTTTCTTACAACACGACCTGATTTCAGAGATGTAAAAGTATTGAAGTATCAGTTTCCTTTATATTCATGTTAGTGTATCTAATGCATCTCATTACCATTTAACAGTTGCATTTCGCCACACAAAAAAACGAAGTGGAGGAATTAACACTACCATCTATTCCCTCACCCATGATATATAGTCAGATGGGCTACTTTGCTTCTTGTTCCAAGATTGGAACTTTATTCCAACATGTATCATCAACTCCATTAATTTGCAGGGGTGGCAATGAATAAACACTCACGGTTGAGCTTCGACTTCGAATTTCTTTCAGAGCCCGCAATGCAGATAAGGTGCTCTTCATGTACAAGCTCTCTATATACTCTATCTCTGCGAGCTCCTTTGACCCTCCACCTCTGAACAGACAGTCACTTTTGGCCGTGGTTCCACTGATTGAGGAGGAGGGTTCATTCCTAACATCAGTTTCCAATGCGGCTTCGTTCAAAGAGAAAAGGCGATCAATCAGTATCTCACACTCCTTCACAAGCTTGTAAAGCAAGTCAGTGGTGAAGAAAGGCTGTTGTAGCACTTTCTGAATGAAGGGCAGGCGAAGGAGGGTGCCAGTCCTTTTGTCATACTTCTTGAGTATCTTTGCTAGCCCTGTGTTGTTAATATTATAACAACATAGATTAGAATAGAACTGTGACAGTTATGATCATACAAAGAAAAGAAATCTCGGTCACCTGTGTAGTTAAGAGCACTGTAGTTTTCCATAAGAACCATCTCCCCATGGAAATCGACAACCTCCTTCCTGGTTTGTATCATCTCATCACTGCAATCTTTGGCCTTTTCCACTCTATCCTGAAGATCCTGCACACCAATTCATTGCAACATTACACTATATACATAGCTCCAATTTGTGAAGGACACTCACCGTTTGAATCCCCCAAGTTAATGTGTGACACTTAATTATGAGAAATATTAATTGCAGTCAATTTATTTTATAATAATAATAACTACGATTATACGACAGTATAAGTATACTTCGGAATAGTGCGTTATATACTATCGTATGAGTTTGTATTTTTAGGCTGGGCTGGCTTAACAGTATTAAAGCCAAGGCATAAACTGCAAGATCTCTTATCTTAATATTTTTTCTCCAGTGCAGTTTCAGGATTATGAAATTCACATTCGTCAATATAAATTACGAAGTCGCTCTCTGTTGTTGAACTGTATGAGCATAAGTTAATCGTTTTACAGGTGAAGGCAATAATGAGTAAGAACATTATAGTTAGGGCCTGGTTTCTGTTTCTAGCAATAGGAACAGAATCGTAACAGATCACCGCAATATCACTAACTTCATGCAATCTGTTGTGAATCCCAAACTAACATCATTTTTTAAGATTTGGAGTGAAACTGAAGGACACAAATCCCAACAACAGTAATTCTACAAAATTTCAACAGTAAATTGCGAAGAAAATAAAAGTAGAATTCTCATACCTTCAATCTGATTATATACTCCTCCTCCTTCTCGACGAAGAACGTGTTGAATTTCTCTAGCTCCTCCTCCAGCAGCTTCACGAAATTAGCTTCCGCCTCCGTCATGTTCTCCCTTTCAACACACCAGGTTGCACCCGCAGAATCCACGGATACGGCCAATTTGGGGCGCTTTAGGGCTCTTTCCTCTCCTAGCCCGTCGCTCCTGGAACCAGCAGCGTTTCCCTTGGGCTCAATGAGCTTGAGCCGCTTCTTGAGCTCCTTGTATGCAAGGAACTTGTCCCTCCATTCCGGCAACGTCTCCTCAATCTGATTGCTCAAACTCTTGCCGAATTTCATCCCTTTTCTATCTCCTCAGAAAAATTTCAGAAGTGGAAGTTGTTATTATGAGATCAAAATGAGGGAGAATGAAAGAGAGGAGCAGGGGATATAACTGCGTGAGGGAAGAAGATGCAGAGTTGGGAATATTCCTTTTGGTGCTCTTCAGAAAAAGGATATGTCTTGTTATATTCCTTTTATATTACGGAAACTTTCCCAGCGGTACTAACAGGAGTAGTAAGTAGACCGGTACAACAACCAGCAGCCCGGCCCGGCTCGGCCCGGCCTTATAAACAGGCAGGTCTGCAGTTTGGATATATTTGTTCGCGGGGCCCGCCTGTTAAAAATATGAGAAGACTACCTGGCCAAAATACTAGAAACTCACACGTGTCATGCACGGTTAGAGAATTTTTCTTTCAAATTTATTTGTGCTCACTAAGGGAGTGTTTGCGATTGCTTCTACTTCAAAAAAAGTGATTTTGGAAAAAGTACTTAATAGTAAAAGTTGGTAGTGTTTGAGAAGGAAGTGATTCTTAAAAAGTAAAAAGTTGGTAGTATTTGGTAAAATAAGTGTTTTTTGTGTAATACAAAAAGTGAAAAGCAGTTTAAAGCACCCTCTCACCTACTTCCAGCTTTTAGCTTTTAAGTGATTAATTTAAGCAGAAGTTGTCATTTGAAAACACTCTTTTCAGCTTTTTTTAAAGCCACAAGCTGAAAAACACTTTTATTAAGCTTTGGCAAACACTCCTTAACTCAAGTTACACCATCGATTGATGACAAACATCTATCTCCATGCAATATTGATATAGCTCAAAACAATAAACAAAACACACTTATAATATTATGGTTAAAAAGAGAGCACGAAGCATTACTTAAAAGTTCATAAACATTCAACAAATATGTAGAAGTCTTAACATTGTAAATATCCATTTAATGTAACCCTAAACATTGTTGAACATTTGTTTGAATACAATATTCTGAGTCTTGATTCAACACATGCCATTGATCTATCGTTTCTACACACTTTAAATGATAGAAAAAAATAGATATCTATTCATTCGATTTTTCTTTATACCACTAGTGGTATTTTTTTACCCGATAGACAAATCACCCATCTCCGCTAAGTCCTAACTTGGGCATAATCAAACCAACGACGATTACCACCAGTGGACTTTGCCGGGGACTTACTCAATAGGAAACGCACATCAGGTATGGTTCATTTTCTTGGTCCTTGTCTAGTTTCTTGGGCTTCAAAGAAACAACATTCAGTTGCTCTATTAACGGCTGAGGCCGAGTACGTTGTCGCTGCCTCATGTTGTGCTCAATCCATACAGACCATGCAACAAGTAAGTGATTTTGGTATCTCTTTGAAATGCATTCCCATAATGCATATGTGTGATAATACTAGTGCAATTAGTATTTCAAAAGATCCTTCATGCACATCCACATTCTCCATCATTTTTTTAGAGATTGTGTTGAAAAAGGCTTGGTTTATTTAGAATATTGTTGCACCGAAAAGCAAATTGCTGACATTTTTACAAAACCTTTGGGGAGAGAACGTTTTGAACTCCTACGGATGGAACTTGGTTTGATCACTGCTTGAATTATTTTCATGATGTTTTCCGTAACATGGTTTCTTTATATTTTAGTTTTCTCTACCACGTTGATCATTGATTTTTCAGCTGTTTATTGTTTTGTTGTTGACAAAAGGGGAGAATATGTGCCCTTTGTGTTCTATGCATGAAATTTTGTGCTTATTCATTATGAAACTAATTTTAGGGCACCAAGTGTTTATCATCAACAAAAAGGGAGAATTTGTTGGAACATATTGTTTTGTTGATGACAAACGACTATTGTTACTTTTGGTTATAAGTGATTGCAGGAAATAAATTTAAGTCGTGCTCTGGAACAAGCCATAGAATTGGTCCGAGAACTGTATTGTGAATCCAAGATTGATTAATTTGGCTTGCTTAAAATATCTTTTCTCTCAATTTAATTTAGGATATGTCTTGTCTTGCTAAATTAAAGAGAACCTTTTAGCAAGGAAATAATCAATGATCATACAAAGAAATGATTTTTTCTTTAAGGAAAATTATTTAACTCAAAGACATTAATTAAGAGATCTTTCTACAAAGCAAGTTTCCAAAATAATTGATGTTATTCAAAATTCAAAAAGGATTTTCGTGCATATCCTCTCACAAGGAATGTTTCCTTAAGAAAAATGATTTCCTTCAATCAAATAAAAAGAATATCTTTTAATAAGTATAAGGAAATATTTTTGAATAATTTCCATGCAAGAGTACCGAAATATATGTGGAGATCCGAGCTATTAAATTAAACTAGTGCATCAAGTCCTGATCTTGCCCATTTAAGAAGACCGAGCTCAAAGGAAATAAACTGTTGAGTATGTGGTTTTGTTAGTAACTAACCGTGCAGGTAGAACGACAGACAAAACTACTCATTGTTCCTTAAGGAACAAAGGACATAACGATCCTCAGGTCCAGATGGACATTATTATTGAATTGTTGACTAACCCTGTAGTTGGAACAAATACAGAACCATTTCTAGTTCCGTGGAATGGTTTGAATTAATATTGATTGCACCTACTTGATTTTCAATTAATGCGCTTTCCTTATATGAGTGCTTATACTTTGTCAAGAATAATATTTTAAGCAAAAATAACTTTCTATGCATGGCCATTCTATATGTACGTAACTTGAGTTACTTATTCTCTTTCCATGCATAACTTGGCATCCACTTATTATTATAGCTTAATACTTTATGGAAAGGATCCTTGTTTGCTTAAATATGATTGCATGATTTAATATTGACCTGTTGCAAGCTTATTTATGCCAAGTAAATATATTACTTTCAACTCTACATATGATGGTATCTGTCTTGTGCAATGATTAATTTATGCGTGAGTCCATTGGTCTTAAAAGAAGGATCTATATAGAAGGAATGGTTTTCAAACAATAACAAGGTAAGTTCCACTCTTGTTGACCCGGACATCCAAGGATGAAGAGTCTCAACGGATCCATTCGTAGCAACCTATATAATCCAGATCGAGAAGAAGAAGAAGAAATGGGTGCTTGACCGAGATAGACATCGAGAGAAATATTCATGAAAGAAATACTGAAGTTCAAGGCACCTGAAACTGCTCACCCGGAGTTCTAGATATAGTTTCTACTTTCTCTTCTTCATATTGTAATTGGGTTTTGAGGATTGGCTAAGAGTAGCCTCCTCAGGTTGGTTTGTGTGAGTGAGAGCTTTGTTGTAAAGCTGAGAGACTCTCTACCCGCAAGGTAGAGAAGCGTAACTCTTCCTAGAGAGGATAGAGTTGGGGTGGCTCAAGAGTAGACTAGGAGAGTTTCCCTTGTAATCATTCAAAGGCTTTTTAGTGAAGTTGCTAAAGTTCCTCTGAGAGAGGTCGAGGTTTTTTAATCCCTTTGAGCCAAAGGATTTTTCCTCGTTAAATCCTTGTGCACTTTACTATTTCGCAATTCCCTATACCCCACACTAGAACTTGGCGAAAACCTGCTACGGCTCCACACACACAATTCACCCCCCCTCTTGTGTTGCTAACCGTTTCATCAAATTCAATCGTGAAGGTTGTCAAATGATTTTTGGAAGATAACTGCGTTTTATATGTATATTTTGGGCGCAATTATCTTCGAAAAAGCATTTGACGACCTTCTCGATTGAGTTTTTTTGCTGAATGTTTTTGTGGATAAACTAGACTTGGTGAAGAACATGCCATACAAATTTCATGCAAAAATTCCTCTGGGAAGGGTCCCAAAAGCCGCCGTCCGGACGGCGGTTCCAGTCAGGAATTCCTGACTGGAAGAGTACTCTCTCTCTCTCTCTCTCTCTCTCTCTCTATATATATATATATATATATATATATATATATATATGTAAGAGATCAAATACAAACCATGTTTAAAATACTAACCTACAAACTCAATAATATGCAACACTTCGAACTTCAATATGCAGTACAAATAATGTAAAGATGCACACTGTGAATTTCAATATGCATTACAAATAATATGCAGCACTTTGAACTTTAATATGCAGTACAAATAATATGCAACACTTTGAACTTCAATATGCAGTACAAATAATGTAAAGATGCACAGTTTGTGACAGTTTGTAGGTTAGCATGGGAAGACTAGTTTATATGTGATCTCACCCCTATATATATATATATATATATATATATATATATATATATATATATATATATAGAGAGAGAGAGAGAGAGAGAGAGAGAATTTGGTTCAAATAAAAAGTACTTCATAGGTGAAAAATAAGAACTAATCTTGGTCATTGATGTGAGAAAATGGATGGAAGAGATCAAATTTTAAGGTTGAAACGCTATGGCATTTTTGTAATTAGGTAGAACTTTTATTGAAAATTTTGTGACAAATGTGTATCAGAATAGTTAAAAAGTGCACATGTAGAGTACAAAAGTGCAATACAGTATAAAATAAAAAGTGGAGAAGTTGGCAAACTTTGACAATCTTTTTTACACGCATGAGTGCACTTTTGATCAGTAAACTATCCACTTTATAGTACAAACATTTGCACATTTGTTGAAACGGTCTATTGTGATTAAAGTTCATTTCATCCATCTATTTTCAAGTGATCAAAGGTCAAGATTTATTCTCACTTTTCATGGAAAGACTACTTTTTACTTGAACTGACCCCCTATATATATATATATATATATATATATATATTGATCGAAGATGTATGCCTCTTTCAGAGAGGTATTGGTTACTCTCACTCTTTTTGTACATCTGCTTTGATTTTACTAAAACTCGGTAAATATTTCTCAACATTTGTCCCACCGATAGGTGGTTTGCCTACCGGGTTAAAAAAAGATTGTTTATTTGTTTTAGCTTGTGCACAATTTATTATGTAATATAATGCGTTTTTGTGCTATACCGTGGCACTTTATGTATGTTCTGATGCACATTTGTTACAATATTTTCATTAAAAGTTCATCATATATAGAGCATATAATATTCACTTACAAATATAAATAACACATGTTTACTATGAATAAATTAAATTATTAAATTCAACCCGCAAGGTTGACCAATTCACATAATTTAGCTATCAAACGAATTAAAAAAATACTATAATGTGAACCAATCTCCCTCTCCTCCACTCTCTCTCTAT